GAGTGTAGGTGGGGAGTTAGGGAGGAGATAGGTCAGTCCAGGGAGGACGGACAGGTCAAGGGGGCGGGATGAGGTTAGTAGGTAGGAGATGGGGTGGGGCTTGAGGTGGGAGGAGGGGATAGGTGGGAGGAAGGACAAGTTAGGGAGGCGGGGACGAGCTGGGCTGGTTTTGGGATGTGGTAGGGGTAGGGGAGATTTTGAAGCTTGTGAAGTCCACATTGATACCATTGGGCTGCAGGGTTCCCAAGCAGAATATGAGTTGCTGTTCCTGCAACCTTCGGGTGGCATCATTGTGGCACTGCAGGAGGCCCAGGATGGACATGTCGTCTGAGGAATGGGAGGGGGAGTTGAAATGGTTCGCGACTGGGAGGTGCAGTTGTTTAGTGCGAACTGAGCGTAGGTGTTCTGCAAAGTGGTCTCCAAGCCTTCGCTTGGTTTCCCTGATGTAGAGGAGCCACAACGGGTACAGCGGATGCAGTATACCACATTAGCAGATGTGCAGGTGAACATCTGTTTAATGTGGAAGGTCTTCTTGGGGCCTGGGATGGGGTTGAGGGAGGAGGTATGGGGGCAGGTGTAGCACTTCCTGCGGTTGCAGGGAAAAGTGCCGGGTGTGGTGGGGCTGGAGGGGAGTGTGGAGCGGACAAAGGAGTCGTGGAGAGAGTGGTCCCTCCGGAAAGCAGATAAGGGTGGGGAGGGAAAAATGTCTTTGGTGGTGGTGTCGGATTGCAAATGCGGAAGTGTCGGAGGATGCTCCCCTCCCCCTACCGCATCCCAAAACCAGCCCAGCTCATCCCTGCCTCCCTAACCTGTCCTACCTCCCACCTATCCCCTCCTCCCACCTCAAGCCCCACCCCCATCTCCTACCTACTAACTTCATCCCGCCCCCTTGACCTGTCCGTCCTCCCTGGACTGACCTATCCCCTCCCTAACTCCCCACCTACACTCACCTTTACTGGCTCCATCCCCGCCTCTTTGACCTGTTTGTCTCCTCTCCACCTATCTTCTCTTCTATCCATCTTCCATCCGCCTCCCCCTCTCTCCCTATTTATTTCAGAACCCCCTTCCCCTCTCCCATTTCTGAAGAAGGGTCTAGGCCCGAAACGTCAGCCTTCCTGCTCCTCTGATGCTGCTTGGCCTGCTGTGTTCATCCAGCTCTACACCTTGTTATCTTTACATGGATGTTGCCAGGAATGGAGGATTTGAGCTATAGGGAGAGGCTGAATAGACTGGGGCTATTTTCTTTGGAACACTGGAAGATGAGGTGACCTTTATAGAGGTTTATAAAATCACGAGGACCATGTATAGGGTGAATAGCCAAAGTCTTTTCCTTGGGGTGGGACAGTTCAAAACTAGGGTGCATAGGTTTAAAGAGAGAGTGAAAAGATTTAAAAGGGACCTAAGGGGCAACCATTTCATGCAATGCGTGGTGTGTGAATGGAATGAGCTGCCAGAGGAAGTGGTGGAGGCTGGTACAATTACAACATTTAAAAGGCATCTGGATGGGTTTAGAGGGATATGGGCCAAATGCTAGCAAATGGGACTAGATTAATTTAATCTGGTTGGCATGGATGAGTTGGACCGAAGTGTCTGTTTCCA